AGTGCAGATCTAAATTTAAATTTGATAACAGAGGATGGTAATCGCTGGCAGGTAGGTACTTTATTCTTCAGTGAAAAGACCTGAACTGCAATTGCTCATTAATTTGTTCTGATTGCAACATATGCATCCACAAATACAGTTGCAGTTGCTTGGACTCATCAATTAGGTGGAATATGTGCAAGCATATCCATCTTTTAGGACGCAAACTTATGGAGCAACCACGAGATTAAACAATATCATCAAAACTAGATAGTGTTTCAGAGCGAAAATGGTAAGTTATAAATAGTATATTTTATTTTCAACCAGAATCAGCTAAAAAATTGAAAAAAAAAGATTGTTTTAATGACAAAAAAGTCAAAAGAATAAGATGGAAGAAAGTTAACATGTACCCCCTTTCCTATTTTTATTCGACCATAATATGTGAATAACAGGCAAAAGTCCCTTTTCCTCACTAGGCAGGAAAAGTGATAATTTCTTGATTTTAAAAAGACAGCAATGACAATATTACTTTACATGGTTGGAAATAAAGTTATTATCAGTATTATTATCACTGATTTTATTTATTTATTTTGTTAGCAGATTTTAATTAATATGATATATTTACAGGCACATATTTTTACAACATTGCTGTTTACTTGAGGTACATTTTCTTTTTTATATACCGTACCTTCATTTGCAAGGTATACATAGGAAAAATAAATTGTAGGTGGAACAGATAAGTCGGTCAGCGCGAAACGAAAATGTTCCCAGAAATTATTTTGACGAGTGGATGAGTAGACTAACATGCGACGTAACAGGTGACCTTGTTTACTGGCGATTAAAATTTTATTACGTCCTAATAATTTCTCAGAACTTTTTCGCTTTGCGCTGACTTCGACTTATCTGGTCCACCTACAATGTATTTTCCCTATGTATAGCTTGCAAATGAAGGTACGCTATACTGGGTATGGTGCAAGGATCTTTTTGTAGTCACAGAAAAAAAGTAATGAACTTTCACGAATTTTGTCAGGGCTGTATCTCCAAAAGTGTTAATGTATATTTTTTAATTTGATGTAATTGTTAATACCTTAAGGTAGTTGTGATTTATAATATATCAAAATTTCATTAGGTAAGCTAAGATTAATACTCTTTGAGATATAGCCTGGACAAAATTGAAGAGGGCATTTAAAGAGAAAAATATGCTTGTTTTTATTAAGTTGAAAAAATTAATTTTTTAAATTATTTTGATGATGATGATGATGATGATAGCTATCAGACTAGTCTATACTGTTAAATTTTCTAAAGCTGAATCAGCTCACCTCGATTTTTGTCTTATAGCTTTGGTTTGAAAATATATAAAGTTTTGTTTTTGTTGCAGCTAAAATCTTTAAACTGTGTAAACTTTGGTGATGGTAATAGTCTAAATTTACATTGTTAAATTTTCTATAGCTAATCAGTGAGCCTTAATTTTGTCTTTTATAGAATAGCATTAGTTTAAAAAAATAAAGTATTGTTTTGTCTATTATGGGTATTAATGGTTTAAATATTGAAACCAATCCCAAAAATCAAGAGGCAGAAGATATCTATAATTCTCTTACCATAGATTCTAACAATCGTCATGACGGCGAACAATTACATCTAAAAAAAGAAGAAATTAAGAGGTTTTTTGTTCTATGGTGGATCCAATACAATCAGATGCCGAATTTTACGTTCTAAGAAAGTTAGTTGATTGAGCCAACGTTAAACGCCACATTTAGAAAAAGTAACTGCGCCTTCTCCCAGAAAATCGCTTTCGTACCGCATAATAAGAAAATTGATCCGCAAAGAAGATTGTTTCCAACAAAAAAGAAAACAAAAAAATCGGCAAAATAGAAAAAACCCTCAACTCAAATAAAAAAACCAAATCGCAGTATCACTTCTGAGTCAGAAGTCAGAACTTCTGACTGATACTTCATTATTGTTATAATACTTTTTTTATTTATTTATTTTTTTGTACAATGTTCATGCAATTCCATGCTATTTCATCATTATTTTTCAGACATTGATCCCGAATGCTTGCATTTTCACTCGATTTGCCCTATTTGAGCGCAAAGTTTAAAAACGTAAAGAATTTAAACTAACTTGAATATGCGTAAAATGATTTACTTTTTAATAATAATAATGCCAACAGTACAAATATCCAATAGCACATACAATAATATAATATAAATAATTATAATTAAGTACCTATCAATTTACTCAATCTAAATTAGTTTAAATTCTTAATGTTTTTAAAATTTGCCCTCAAATAGGGCAAATCAAGTGAAAATCACTCCAGTGTTCAGGATTATTGTCTGACAAAAATTGAGTATTTTTGTCTTAGTACTGTATGAATAAATAATTTTGTTAAAAACATGTTAATATGTTATTTAATTACTTTTTGTATCCTGTATAAATAAATAATTTTATTGAAAACATGTTTGTTTACTTTTTCTATATAAAAAATACAGAAAAAGATTTAAAAAAACCTAAATTTCCCTAAAAACCCAACTATCCAACTATCGGTTTGGGATTTTTAATTGATGTAAAATCCAGTTTTATGTTTATTATTAAAGTCGATAAATACAATTTTAACTTAAACCCTTTTTTGATAAGTGGCAATTTTATTTTAATATAATTATAATATAGACTGTGTTGCTATCTATGAACATCACGATACATTATGGATTGGATATTTTCCAAGATATACAAACTGTTAATTATATAAAATAATTTCTCTACAACTTGTAACCTATTGTAGTGCCATCTATGTGTTCTGTGCTGAATCATAGAGTCAAAGCCACAGACGTAAAGATCCTTTACTAAAGAGCCATAGGTTAGATAAAGAGCAGTGCTGTTTCAGCGTACCGTGCCACATATGATAATTAAATGTGCCTTTTTATCTCTGGATGCTATGTGCTGGTAGCACATTTAAAAAGAGTCGTACCAGCTCCGCACATACAAAAGTGTCGTACATTATGTACGACTCGCACATGTGCGACACATCACTAGTAGTGACCGTTCAGTATATTTCTTCGTTAGAGTCTCAAGACCTTGTAACCTTAGAAGAAGAGGTGGGCTCGTTGGGTTTTTCCGGGGATTTGGCCGTATTGGCAGGGTAATCGAAGCATTGGAATTGCGACGTTTGGATTGTGGTCTTTTAAGACTCGGTCAGGGGTGGTTTTTATGTCGGTCGTTGGGAAGGGGTCCTGGATTACTTCCATCTCGGTGACATTCACCGCAACGTCCATTTCCGAGGCAATCCGCACCTCGTATGATTGGCAGATCTTCTCTAGGCTTGAATCTATCTTGGACTTCATCGAGATCGTCCTCAAGCACACAATTAAACTATCGAGCTTCGCAATAGGACTTGTGTCTTTTTTCACCGGAGAGCGGCTATTGGGGGCAGTTGTCCGCAAGGACTTATCTTGAGGACTTTTCGCTTTATTGTCTTTGTTTTTATTTTTACCCATGGTAAATTGTTTCTATCTCCCCAGAAGGGGGAAAACTATATGTACAGTGTTCGCTTTACCACCTATTGTTGAAGATAATAACGAACACGAACCAAATCTTATATAGCACAGCCTATGTTTGTTTTATTAGAGTTAAGTTTCCGTTCTGTTGTAATTTGTTTTTGAGTGTCAGTGTGAATTCGGGAGTGCGTAGTTTATTCATTAAATGTCTTAATTTAATAATTAAACAAATTTTGTGTCTAGTATTTTGGGAATTTCAACAACTTAATCTGGCGACGTTGCTTTGTTAGTCTTCTACCGCTTTTAAATTGTGCAAACACCTGGATCTGGTTCTTTCTCACAGCGAAACAGCAAGCCGCAACATTGAAAAGTAGCTTTGTTTAAGCCTGGCATTCCAGTGATTTTTTTTTTTAAGTAGTGGTTGAATGTAACCAACGACTATTTAAAACCTGAAAGTCTCATGTAAGTTTTTTATATTGGAAATTATATCGTCTTGACAACCTGGTTTTCATTTAGGTGACTTTATTTTTGGTCAATATTTCAAAAATCTACATGTTTTCAGGAGGTCTAATAATCGTTGGGGCTGGAATTCGTTGGGGTTGTTTGTAAAACACTTAAAATCTAAGGGTAATCAAGAAAACGTTTATAGTTTCTAGATACTTATTTGGGTCGTATTTTTGGTTTTTTTGTACGGCGATTGAGTTTGTTGGTTAATGGTTAACTGAATAGTAGTATACCAAATGGCGGATGTCATAATTTTAACCTACTTTGGAAATTAACACTTATTTATCTTTAAACATTTAAACTATTTTAAATAATTTGTGTAAACTTAATATGGTCATATGCGAAGGTAAAAATCATTATTATAAAATTTATTCAATAACATCTAAAATCCAATCATTTTTAACAAAACATGTCAATTATTTTAATCTTTTTATAAATACCTAACAGTTGGGTAAGGTAACATCTTACTTGCCCTAACCTAAAATAACTAGTTTCACCAAGATTGTGGCGCCCTTTTTCTTTAGTTTTGTATAGGACAAACCGGAGTATTAATAAACAATACTTAGCCGATCGACCCATCTCACCACTGATAAGCTGTCGTTCGCCGTATCCCTCGAGTTGAGGTTACAAGTTATTTAAAATTGTTACTTTACAAACAAACCCACCTAGTTATTCTTAAACCGATAAATTAATTTTAGAAAAAATTCAATTTATCCTAATAATTGATTTATATATTAAATTTTTTTCACCTTTTTACTTTTTCAATTGAAATGCAGTTTTACTTTACTTTTACTATTTACGGCAGAACTAGGTCTCTGGGCAAAACTGTGCAGCGTGCATTATCTATTTTTAATGGTCATATTTTAATTTCTATCCGGTGATAAGTATAAAATATAACAGGCTACAACTTGAAAACTTAAATTGAAGAAATTAATTCGTTGTCAAATAGTATAATATAAGTATATTTATTTAATTTGTGTTAATTTAGGCATAGTATTACAAATTCTACACATTTATAAGGCTTACCTGGCATGTCCTCTCGAATTGAATACCGGGGGTTGTTGGTGGTGTTGATCGGAAGCATGTTTTTGAGCCATGTTATTTTCGGTGTGGGATTCCCAGTAGCTTTACATTGTATCACGGTATTGTGACCAATTTCGACCACTTTATTGGTCGCGGGCGATTGGACGATCTGCGGGAATCCTGGCGGAAGCTTATCGGCTGTAACAAAAGAATAGTATCGATGAAATCATAAAATAAAATATGGGTTTTAATATTTGCTAATCGTATACTGGCAGATGGATATCGGGTGAAAAATCGCGAGTATTAATAAACGGCCAGATCTGTATTATTCAATATTAAAGCGCTTTTTGAGCCGGGCTATGCACAGTGGACTAGAATCACCTGGGGAACGTCCAAAAATACAATTTAGGTCCTTTTACAATTAAGAAAATCTAAATTGATGAAAAAACATTAAAATTTCACGTTTTATTTATAAAATTTAAAAATGTTCACGAATTAAAAAGTTTTAGAACATTGAAGTGAACCAAGTTTACAATGAAGCAAAATTGACAATTTTTCTTTAAGTTTAAATGGCTGTAATTTTAAAACTAATAGATTTTTTAATATATTTTATAGTTAAAATTAAATGATGCCTACAATTTTCAAAACTGAGAATGCAGAATATGAAGTAAAGCACACTTTATTTTTTACAAGGTGTTAAAAGGAACACCTTCAGCAGCTTCTTGCGTGGATCAAATCCAACCGAAATGAATAGGTTGCATAGTTACAGAAATATAAATCCACAAGCTTTAGAATATGGTCTTTCAAGTCTTTACGTGTGGATAAGGTTTATAAAGTGTATCTAAACATCGCCTATAACTTCCATTTAAAACATTGGACAGTAAGAACCGATGAAAATAAGGCTTTAAGAAAATCGAAAAAACTACGAATACATGCTAAAAGCGGGCTTAATAATAGATATACCCAAACCAATGGCAGGGACTTCCAATGATGGTAATACAGCTCATAGATTTTTCAAGGATCCGAAAACAACATCAAGTATAACAAAAGTAGATGGTAATAGGCAAGAGGTTCGGGATAATTTTACAAGCATTTGCATCTGGAAAAGAAATAGATTCAAAAAATGAAACAATTATGCACTGCAGACAGCTGAACTTTATGTGTCTAAATAGTAGGTACTATATGCCTGCTTCAGTGCATAACATTCTAATTCACGGGGCAGATATTCAGGAGTCTAGGAACAAGGACTTTAAATACTTAAAAGAACAACATACTAGAAAAATATCAAGATCTGCAAACTCATGAAGACTTGCTTCATAGACTTCTAGCAACCTCCGATCCATTTATATATAAAAGAATAATTTTAAAAATAAAAAAACAGATTTAGATTCCACACATACAGAACTGTATTGGATATTGTAATTTTATATACATATATTATAAATATATGATTTATTTATTATTAACAATAATAATTAATTAATTTTAATAATAAATAACTAAGATCCCATGTTATTAAATTATTATTACGTACTTTTGCAAAATTTTATATTTACATTTTAAACCAGTATAAATAGCCACTGCAAATCAAATTAAATAAAAAAGTATAGAATTATATAGAAATAAGATTTTTATTATATTAAAATTGAATTAAAATTTCATAATGATATTTTAAATGGTTTTTAAAATAATTTAATTTTAACTTACATTAACAAAACTTTAATTATTTTAACAAGATCAATATTATTAATTTGTAAAACTAGTCTTAAAATTTTAAATTGACATTTTTAATAGTTTTTAAAATAACTATATTTTTAACTTGTGTTAAAAACACTTCAATCATTTAAACCCTTATAAAATAACCGCCACTGAACTAATTGAATTAAAATTGTTAAATCAAGATTTATACCCCAAATATATGGTTTTAAAATTTCATAATAAGTTAGTTTTTTTTAATGGATTTTGGCCACTTTTTTGCCATTCCAGTCCACTGTGCTATGCTAAGCTTGCAATATATTTTACGTAAATCTATAATTTATCATTTGATTTATGCACAGTTCAAACTATGATGGAAATTTGTTAATAGATTAAACAGATTACGTGGTTGGTTTATGAGCTTATTTCAACGCAATAATATATTCGTCGATCAAATCAAAATAGCCTATTGTTGCCGCACCGAGTTACGTTTGTTTTTTTTTAATTTTAGAGTCTTTGTTTGGATTTTGCAAAAATGTAAATTTTTCATCACAAGCATTTAAAAATTACTCGATTTATGCAATTCATCTATAATTTCATTAAATTCAAATTAAAATAAATTCATGTTTTGATATCGTTTAAATAAACCAACAAAAAATTAAATAATATGAATAAAATGTATTGGGGTTAAAAGCTGTCGCCAACTAAATTAATTTTAATTAACGGTTTGTAGTAGATACTGTAAATACTGTGTAGATACTGTGAATACTGTGAATCGTATCTAGAGCATTATATTTTCATTCGGTTATGGAATTTGTTATTTCATCGAAATAAGCTCGTAAGCTGTTTAATTTATCGGCAAACTTTCTCATTTTAATACGATATTGATTGCAAACTTAACATAATACACAAATATGCGGATAACGGTTTTTAATTAAATTTTTAAACGTACACGAAAGATTTTCCATCGCTTTTGATTAAAGAATAATTTATATCGCCTCCTGCGTTAAAATAAAAAAGCAGAAAAAACGGTTCGGAATCTAATAAAGCGAACAATATTTTCTTTTTAAATATTTTTAAAATTACGAAATTATATCTACATCCACACTGTTTTATATATTTATACCCTTGGTTACTTAAGAATACAAATAAGTTTTAATTTTATAGCTTTTGTAGTTTTATGTCCAATGTACTTAAACACAACAATTTGAATACATTTATTATAAAAATAAATTGTTCAACTCAAACCATTTTAAAATCCACTGCTATAGCAAATATATTTATGGAACAACATAAAAAATTAAATACAATGCAAAGTACCTTGCATGTTTTATGTACACATACATTTAAAATGACGTTTACAATGATTATAATTGAATACCTTTTTTTAAAAACCGCACATTTCCAAAAATTTAAAAAATGAACTGCAGTTATAAAAAATGAACTGCAGTTATAAAAAATGAACCATGGTTATGGCATTTACTAAGTAAGTGGCGGCTGGTGGATTTTGGGTATACCTATATCTCAATTATTAGATATGGGACCCACACCAAATTTATATGACTTTATAATGACATTAAATAAACATGTTCTGCGCAAGCAGAATTTAAATTAAAGTTTGCGAAAAAAAGTTAAATTTTTGCTCGTCCTTACCGGCCCCATGGCGCCTCCAATAAATATAATATAAATTTAATTGGTGCAATTTATTATTTACCATAGTTTATCGACAAATTTCATTTAAAAAATCCAAATTATAGAGATTTTATATATAATGGTATACCATTTTTTATTTTTAATGTCTCTTTTCAAATATAATAATAAATTGCACCAATTAAATTTATATTATATTTATTGGAGGCGCCATGGGGCCGGTACGGCCGAGCAAAAATTTAACTTTTTTTCGCAAACTTCAATTTAAATTCTGCTTGCGGAAAACTTGTTTATTTAATGTCATTATAAACTCATATAAATTTGGTGTGGGTCCCATATCTAATAATTGAGATATCGTTATACCAAAAATCCACCAGCCGCCACTTAATTAGTTAATGCCATAACCAGATCATTTTTAAAATTTTTGGACATGTGCGGTTTTTAAAGAAAATAAATACTAGTGAAAAGCCGAATCTATTAATATGCATTTCCGTTTATTTTAAAAGTAACATATATAGGTACCATGTAATTTAGTTAATTAATGATCATAAAATGTTGCACATGATAGTACACTAGGAATGCTTTTTTTAAATATTTTGGAAAAAGTTATTTTTTTACTTGTGTTGTTTTTTAGAAAAGGTCTTTAATTAATTACAAATATTATAAAAGGGACATTTTTCAGAAAGAGTGTTAAGAATAAATTATTAACTTTTTAAAATCATTAATTATTTGAACGAAGAATTTTATTCTTATAATTAAAAAGAAACGCATGCTTTAATTTTGGAATCTCAAACGGGATTTAATTAAAATTGAAACATTTACGAACATTCTATTAAAAATTAGCACAGTTGTCTAGATAATAAACAATTTATTGTAAATTTACAGGTTGAAATAAATTGCCGAGATTTAAACTAGTCATAAAACATACCTACTGTAAAACACTTAATTAAATGTCAACCTTATAGCATCTTTTACGTCACCTTCTTATAAAAGCCATTTAGTAATTTATGAAATTTATTAACGTCTGTTTATTTTACGGTGCTATTTAGTTTACTGCTTCTATTCATTAACAATATAAATTTCGACTTAAATGGAAAATCTATAGGAGATTCTGCCTGAAAAACGTGCCTTAAGGAATACAGGTCACAATACCCATTTGCAAACTCATTTTTTTGTGTAAAAAAATTTATAAACAATTTAATTTACAGTAAAATACATAATAAATTTAAAACTCAATTTCAAATTAGCTTTCACAAAGTTTCCTTGAGTTAAATCATATAAACCTTACTTAAAAAAAATCTCATAAAAAGAAGTCGAAAGGAGTTAAATTCCAACTTCACGGCGGTCAATTTTGGTTTTCTATACTTTTCTGGACTTTCGTTTATTAAATACTCGGTACGCGAGCTACACTCATGTCCAATTAAAACTCCTGGCTAAAATGCCGTTTATTAAACTTTTTGCATAATATACTATTAGGTAGTTACTTTTTACTGTCACTTGTTGTGTGCAAGAACGTCATCTTGTTAAAATCAAATTTGACCTAACCTTACTTTGGGAACTTCTGTCTTAGACTCAACATAAAAAAATATTTTCCTTGAAAGAATCCGATGTAATTTATTTTAATTAATTAACTTTATTTAAATAATAATTTTATATTATATATATATATATATATATATATATATATATATATATATATTAAGGAAAAATGGCAATATAAGTATAAAATGCCTTATATATGCAATATTAAGTAATAAAATTAAAATATCATTTTTATTGTGTTTTTACAATAAAAATAATGTTTTGTTTTACCTAATTTCTACAAAATAAGTTGTTTTTGCCAAAGGGCAGCTTATACCCCTTTTA